TTACAGCTCCAGTTACCTGAAGATAAACGGTATGTCAGAAGTTAGCGAGGAGACACATTTACAAGTTGAGTTCAAGTTGCCATAATAACTACTTTAAAAATCTGTTTGACGCATGGATTACCGTGTGTAACGAACAAGAAATCAATGCTGAGCTTTGCTATGAAGTTTGCTGAGGTTTTTTCAACCTTTCTGTGCTACCAAATCAGCCAATTTCTTAACTAATCCTTGTGATACAAGCGTAAAGTTGATATTTAAAATAATGAAACGAACGTTAATAAAAACAAACATGATCAAAAGCAACTCTGTTAGACTTATAATGGCGAAGTGATCACTATTTTTCTAACAAGACCTTGGAGCATGGCTCCTGCAACCGTAATGCCACATGGTGCTTGTATGCCTTTACGAGTGACATAAGAAAGGGATACCAAAGGAACTTTATCCCTAATTATTCATAAAAGCCGAACCTAATTTCTGTGCAAATTTCCAAAAGGGTATTAACTGAAATCACACAATCGCTTTCTTTCCAGTAATTTGAAACGAAATTAGTTAGATAGATTTCGCTATTTTGACCGTACCGAGTCCTATTGATGTTGCGAAATCGCGACGCCTCGCTTATGGCTTAACATCCTGCGGTACATTCGGATATTCGAAGAAAGCGCTTTAATGTAAATTATGATGCATTAAGATCTAATTGCACATCTTCTAGCATAGTCAGAAAGTACATGAGTTTTCAGGATAAAAAGCTGTCTTTTCGAAGTTGATGTAGCTTTACCACTTAGACTAGCGAAACGTTTGTTAGAAGTATTGGCATCTTGATCATCAATCAGGCTTCAAAATCCAGTAATGACAATAAACCTTGAACGCCATAACCACCCACCAAATACAGTATGTACAGCACCGTTGCCAGTAAATTTGAAAGTGTGTCAGCTATTCTGTTTGACACGTACACCCGTTTTTGGAACGCCTCACTTTCTCGTGTAGATGCATCTGGTACCATTTGCCACCATCCAATACGATAACCCACGTAAACACTTCGCACAAGTACACCCAAGCTCTAAAAATACACTGTAAGCAAGCGTACAAATGAGATAATGTTAAACTCTTACTTCTACAATCATCATTAGTGAGTACATCGGATGCATCACTTTGAGAGATGTGAATCCAAATGACATCAGAGCCGTAGATGTGAACAAACAGGCAGTTAACAGGACAAGCAACCGTTTCAATAGCAGAGACTGATTCGGATCTTCCAACGAATGTTTTGATTGCTTTTCCTTGTTGTGCTTTTTGCTCGATTTTGCTTGTTTCTTCTTATCATTCTCCAGACAATCGCTAGATTTGATACCGATTATCTGAAGGTATTTGCTACAACAGAGGGTAAATATTTTGTCATAATTTTAAAATTAATTTCGACTTCAAGACGATGAAAATGATAGACACGGAAATAAACTGCCTCTCCTATCTACAATCTTCACTTAGAAATGCGCATAATCGCAGTTCAGTTTTAAAAGTGCGGGAAAATCCCCATACTTTTCAAAGATCGGTCGCCGTTACAGAAACTGGTGGTCTGTGCACCGGATACCCTTCTTTATCTAACCGTTACAGCAGTCCAGTCGACAACCGACGACAGCAGCCTTAGCGATACG